GTAACCTTGGCTGCGTTATGCTGCCGGTTTCCCCAAGTCTTCTGAATGATCTTATTGAAATAGGTATTCCCTATTACAGCGCAGACTCAAACAACCAAACCCCTCTTTCTTGGGCGGCGACAAATGGCCAGGAAGAAATCACCAGGAAGTTACTGGAAGTAGGGGTCAACATCGAGCCTGATAAGCCTTCTTTCACCCCACTTGCGGCAGCTGCAAATAATGGCCATGAGGCAGTTGCTCAGTTGCTTCTGGAAGCAGGAGCCGATCCAAATACAGAGGATAAAGACGGTCGAACACCGTTGTCATGGGCAGCTAAGAATGGTCACGACGCAGTTATTGGGCTTTTAATGAATTACCATGCCACAATTGACAAGGAAGACAGCAATTGTCGAACGCCCCTACTATGGGCAGCGCGTTGTGGACATAGTACGACGGTGAAGCTTCTGCTCGAATCAGGGGCCGAGCCAGACCCCAGAGACAAGGAGTATCAGTGGTCCGCCTTGAGCTGGGCATGTGGCAATGGCCATATTGAGGTTGTCAAACTTCTCCTGGAAAATAATGCCAGCCCGGTTTCCAAGGACATTCATGGTTCGACGCCGCTGTTCTATGCTATCGAGAATGAAAATACTGAAGTTGTTCGCTTGCTGCTTGGCACAGTAGTTGATGCCAATACCACGGATATTAATTGCTTGGCCCCGCTCCCAGTAGCCACAGAAAATGACTTTCAAACGGAGTTTACTATGCTCATGGAGAATGATCTCTTCAAGCATCCTGAGCAGCTGTTCTATGCCGCACATCATGGGGAAAGTCAATATGCCAAGTTCCTGCTTCAAATTGGCGTTGATGCAAACATAACGACAGCAGAGAAAGGAGAATCAGCATTGTCAATGGCAGTTCGGAACGGGCATGCTGGGGTGGTGAGACACTTACTAGACCATGGTGCTGATGTTGATCATCAGGATCTTCACTATGGGAAGACAGCACTTTATATGGCCACTTGCGCAGGACAAGGAGATATTGTAAGACTACTTTTGGAGCGCGATGCTAATCCTCGAATCAAGAACATATATAGGGAAACGCCTCTGTCATTTGCAGCTTAGGAAGGAATTGGAGAGGTAGTCTGTCTATTATTGAATACAGGAGCTGATCCAAACAGTAAAGACATTTATGGTCGGACTCCCTTAATGTTTGCAGCAGCTATTGGTCATGAAGCTATTTCGAGCTTACTGCTACAGGCCGGTAGTGACATAAATACCACAGATATCAATGGCAGGACGCCTCTTGTGAATGCTGCGGCGAGTGGAAGTCTAACATTTGTTGAAATTCTACTTGATATGAAGGCCGACCCTGCCCGGAAGGACAAGTATGGACGCGACGCAGAATATGAAGCAAACAAGAGAAGGCATCGCAATGTTGCAAGAGCCCTGCTGTGCAGTACAGGCGGAGAGAATATTTTGCTGAGTGGAGCGAAGAGCTCAAAGAGATCACGGGGCCGGACGTTTTGTGACATATGTCTTGTGATATTACCGTATGGGGCACATTACTTCCATTGCAAAATCTGTCATGGCGGTGACTTTGATATCTGCCAATACTGTGAAGAGAGTGGGGCCTCTTGCTTCGTGGAAGGGCATCAACTTACAAGGGAATCATAAATTGAATGAAGACCATATGACATTGTGCCTTTACTACATGCTATACATATTATTCTAAGCCAAAGGTCAGTACATACGACCATAGGGTGTGGAAAACAGGGCTTCCCGTCCGCTCAGCCGTACTTAAAGCCATATGTTAAGCTCAGTCAACCATTAACTTTGCCTTTTTCTCATTGCTGCTATAAGGGTGATGGCCGGATGAGCTTTAGTTGGGTGCAGGTTATTGAGGTGAATGGCCCTAAATTGTCCGTATATGAATTTGCATTAAAGTCTAACTGATATCAAATACTTCAGAGTACTCGTACAGCACCCAGGAGACATGGTATCACAACAGACCAGACAATAGCAGTTTAAAGGGAAAAAGCATGATATAAGAAATTTTAGAAGAGAGTGCGGATGTGATATCACAAAAATCATAGAACAAGAAAAGCACAAAAAAAAAAAAAAAAAAAAAAAAAAAAAAAAAAAAAAAAAAAAAAAAAAAGAAAAGAAAAGGCCGTCATTAATTAATGAATGAGATCAGTCCTTCTACCCTGAATTTTAAGCTTAAGCATTCTGGGGAATGAACGCATTCAGGGGACCAGCAAAAACGGCGGGTCCATTAGCGACCTTCGACGAGCCGTTGGAGGCCACAGTGCCGTCCGCTTTGTTGAAGGACTGGTTAATGTCACCCGAGAACCCATAAGATGGGTATCCGTCGGCAGTCTTCTTGGCCTGACCATTGGCACCATTCGCTCTGGCTCCGGCGTCCCTGGCGACACCACCAGCACCACCAACGCGGTGGTCCTTGCGGGTGATGGCTGCTAGCTTGGGGATGTCAGTGGATTCAGACGCACTGCCAAGGCTGAAGATGGGTGACTCCCAACGCTCACCCTTCTCAGCAAGCTCTACATACTCCGTGGCCTTCGTGGAGATACCGCCAGGAAGCTTGACTTCGGGGAACTGGGAGTCGCGGAGGTTGGTGGTTGCTTCGACCTTACTGTCGCGCTTAGCAGTCTCTTCTTGGGACTTCTTCTTTCTCTCTGACATCTTCGCGCGAAAGATGTCCAGGTGACGGGAATAGATGCTCGTCTCATCCTCAGGGTCATTCTTCTGGGCGGATTCCTGTGCTTTCTTGGCATCCGTGTGTACTTCATTGAAGAAGCTATCACCATTGATGAAGGCCTCGCGGATCTTCTGCTCAAGCACCTTCTGCAGAATTGGACGAATCACACGGAATAAGAGAGGCTTGAAGGTTTTGAAGAGAAGCTTATGCTTGGACTTCTGCAACTTGATGTCCATGTTTGAGATACTCACAGAGACCTTGTCCAGCTTGACAAAATGTTCATGGTCTTCCTTTTAGGCGACAGAGGCGGCAATGTTGAAACCTAAGCCCTTGCCGCCAAGGGAGATATCCATAAGACCATTATCTGAGATCGATGGGAAGCCTGCCTTCTTCTTTATGTAGTAGCTGACATCAGTGAGGTCTGCTTGGATTCCAGAAGCAGAGATCATCATCTTGTTGTCCTGCTTGCTGCTGAGCTTTTGGCGTCCCCAGCGGAAGTAATTGTCACTGCCAAATTCCAGGATATTGGGCATTAAGTTGTCGCTCTCTATGACTAGGTTTTCCACCACAACATCGACAGTGGGATCCGCGAACTCAATGCGAGGGATTGGCATGTAGTGAACATGCGCAAGGATAGATGGCAATATCACATTCCCAATATCTTTAAGGAGGTGCTTCTTGAAGTTGACCTTGCCCTCTGTGTTGCACCCAAGATCAGTGAAGAGCTCCTGCATGGACTGACCAAATGCCTTGTTGTGGTCATCCTCATTGTACTGCTCAGAAAAGAATTTGATTTCATCCAGGATGTGGTCAGTATGGGCCTTGTACCGGTCTTGCAACAGGTACTGACCATGGTCATATAGGTGGTTCCATTCACGGTTGCACTGGTCCCCCATGACAAAGCCTCGCTCTTGTAAGCTCTTCCTGATAAAAGTGTCGACATTCTTGAACCACCCCTTGAGTTCATGATCCTTGTCTGCATCCTTGTAGACAGTCTCGAGAGAATCAAAAAAGTCATCCAACGACGTGCTGTTGGCGAAGCGCTCCAGCAATGTCTTTTTGAAAAAAATGGACATAAGCATCCAGTTCCAATGGCGAAGAAGAAAAAGAAAAAGTAGATCAACACTTACTCTGAGATTAGTCTCAACGGTTTTCACGCCCTGGTTGCCTCTGACTTCCCTGACCGAACCAGTCCCTTGCTGAGGAATATCCTTGGACTGTCGAGCATACTTCTCTGCAAGAGAAAGTAGGGTCTCGATGGCTTTCTGGTCTACAATATAGATGTTAATTAGTTACAAGGTTCAAGGTGGGGGGGGGGGGGGAAAAAAAAAAAAAAAAAAAAAATTAAGACTCACAGTCTGCGTGACCTTGAACTTCTATTACCATCTTCTTCAAACGCCGGATCGCCTGGTCGCGTCGCTCTGGAGGTATCTTTTCCGATAGATACTCTTTGGTCTTGCCAGCGGCCTGGCGCTTGCGGTCCTTTGCTGATTCTTTTGACACCTCTGCAGTCTGATTGCCAGTAGCGGAATCAGAAAGTTCGCTCGCACGATCCTTTTGCGCGCTGTCAACATGTCATTCCCATAGCAAGAATAATGCGCGGGAGACGGGAGAGCAGCTTACGCCTTTGTTCTTGTTGAATCGAGACTTGAGCTGTTCCGTTGACAAGCCTGCTGGCTTTTCGTGCCACTCATTCTCCTCAGCAGGTTGATCGACCTGAGCAAGCTGTTCTTCGGATGGACGGATTTTAGTGGGAGCGTACTGAGAGACATCGTTAGCCATGTCGCGCACGATGACCAACGCATCGCTCACTGTTCTCTTAGTCAGCTTCGAAATCTTTGAATTGAGGCAAGCTTCAAATCTACCTACGAATCTTCCTGAACTCCCCGTTGGTGATCAAAAGGGTGCCCAGGGTCTTCAGACCGTCCACGGCCTGGTTACCATCCTGCTTAGAGCCATCCTTATCGACGGTGGCACCAGGTTTCTTCGCCTCCACCGAGCCGAGATGCTGAGCCTCCCAGATGAGATCCTGAAGCAGTTGGCCTTCGTTCTTGCTCATGATCAACTTTCTGGCTTGGTCGATAACATTCCGAAGGTCCTTGACCAGTGTCTGGCCTTCCTCGGACAACTCCTTGGACGGAGATGAGAGAGCATTGGATTGAAGGGCACTGTTCAACGCGATATCGCATTGCTTGTTCGACGGCATCTTGCCGCGCTTTATGCCTGTACGTTTTGACCCATAGTGATTAGCCACTTCGACGACCCTACCCATTGGGGTGGAGGGGAAGGGGTACTGCGACTTACCATGATAGATCCCATACAGTTGGAGCTTTTGGTTAATGCTCTGCTCCTTCTGTTTGGGATCATTGGGACGATTGACCAGTTTGGACGGCATAATGGAGCTTGTTGGAACCATTCAAAGATACTAGAGAGGTCGACAAGAGAACTGAAATATTATGTACAGGAGATGGGATTTGATGCGATGATGACGCAACGAGGACGCAACGAGGACACAGGGAAGGTAACCAGATAGGGATTAAAAGTCGATTGGGGGAATCAGTCGGTAATAGTAGTAATAAGTAGTACTGTAGCACTGTCGTGTCGCTTGGATATGAGATTGGGGTAAAAAGAAAGAAACAAGGGGAGAATTATGGGGATGAATTGACTATGTACTTTCCATGACTGAGTGATGGAGGGTTCACGTCATGCTGAGCAGACAGGAATACATAAACATTTTTATTTATATGATGTGCCATACTCACAGGAAACGTTGCCAGTTTCTGGACAGTTGTGGCTTGTTTTGTACAGACTTATGATCTCATGCCGCACTCTCTTAACTAGACCGCATCATGGAGTACACTATCTACCCATGAAGTAGGCTCTAGCTCAGGATCAGTAATCGGGAGTCAATTGTCGTGTGCTGTACAAGGCCACCGTATGAGAATAGGAACTAGACTATATTATCCATTGAGAGAGTGTATGTGTAAATTGACTATCATACTATAGCGAGTACTTGTCTATCTAGTCAGTGCATTCACGCTGGCTTTTGGCACTGATGAAGATCGGATGAATGTCGGACCGATCTAGTGAGCTCCGGAGAAGTTTTATCGTACGGAGTGGTGGGACGCTCTTAGTTAGTTCTAGTAAGCACTCTACAGCAGACTCAATACTACGTACATTCCCTACTGCGCTTAATTGTCTCTACGGCCCACGGCTGTCATATGGGCCTCGTACGGTAATCCGGAGAATCGGCACCGCTGCCCCGAAGCTTCCCCGTTTCAGGCACCTCAATGGCCTCGGTCCGACCATTATTCCGCATCTTTGAATATAGTCAAAAGAAGGCGCGTGTTGGAAGATGTGTGGGGTGGAACACTCAGTAACATGTGAGACACTTCCCCAACTATAAAGCCCAAGGAGGTATTCAAACTGATCCAGAGTCAGCTGTAGATATTGGGCTACTGATGGCTATGTTTGGGATTGCCTCGGTCATTGGGCCTCTATTGAGAGGCGCCTTTACCGACCATGTCACTTGGTGATGGAGGTGAGTAACCTGAACAAAAAGGATACTAAAGTGAACTATGCTAACACAGGTCGCTGTAGCTTCTACATCAACCTTCCGATAGGCGCTGTGACGATTCTCATGATCCTGCTCTTTTTGAAGTTGGAAGAAAGTCCAAGCCAGTCAAATCAAACCAAGCGCAGCTTAATCTCGAAGCTTGACCCGATCGGAACACTTGTATTCATTCCCGGGATAGCAACTCGCAGTCATTGCGTGCCAGGTAATCCAGCCTGGGACAGGCCTGGGTGCTGTGTATGATGGAGGATAAGCTGTATGTGGTAGATACGAGGAGAATAAAACTGAGTTTGGAATGACCTGCTTGTACGCCTCTCACCGGAGGAATTCCGAGAAATAGTTGGCAACCTCCATTTCAAGTACACCAAGTTCTAAAGTAAAAAGGGCAGTGCGTCCAGGACATCAGTCCATCATTTGTGTCCCAGCCAACTCACATTCTCATGGCCACAAAGCAGATTTAACGTTTCATTTTGCAATAGAATTTCAAGAATACTCAGCCCAGGGGCCTAGCGATGCAAGATGTCTAGGAAAGCGAATTCTCCTTTATTTTGGGCCGTTCAAAGATGCTAATGAATATAAGCGATGTAAAATCCACGATGTGTGTTACAATCAGACGACAGAGATTGCTTCTGACAAGTGGATTTCTCCGTGATCTTCTTCGGCATCAAAGCATTCTTGAAGCCATCCGCCAAGACGCTGTCATTGGTCGGTTATGGCTTGTTATTGAGGTAAAGTAAGATGTTTCTTTCCATCATATTACTGCTTGGGCTCAGTCTCACTGGACTTCCAGTCATGACCCATCAATTCGTCACCAGACGACTGCATATATTTATTTGTATGTATTCTCTCGACTTACCTACTACCGGTACTAAAGCGAAAGCAGGACATTCTCAATCAAAATTGGCGTGGTAGTGGTTGATTGGCCGCCAGTTTCCACCACGGCATGCTGCAAGGACACAGTGCCAAAATTGATCGTGGAAATTGAGTGCCAGAGACCTACTGATCATGAGTCCCGATGCTGAAGGGCGTGCACTTACATGGCTTGAGCGCATTTAACGTGTGACGAAATCTCTGTCTCTTGTCAGAGATAACATTAAGGAAATTGGTAGAGCTGCCCATTCAAAATTCACTTGTTAGGTTGTCCCTGATATTCCCGAGGTTGCTTGACTTGTGGTAGATTGTAAAAGGAGTAGCTTTACTTTTAGGATGAGTACCAACAGACCACTTCGTCATGTCTGGTTTTGAATGGCTTCTAGCATCAACTCCATGCACAAGTGTGCATGCTGTTGATTGGCGACAGTTCCCTGATGAATATCATGTGGGTTTCCCAATTAGCTCACTGTGTGGCCCAATTGACCCAGATATCTAGGTGCAATAATTCGCTCACTATTGATCAAATCAAATCAATGCTCTCGCCACTTTCGCCTTGAATACTCGACCAGGCACCATTCGCATCTTTCATGCATTGGAGCTGGTGGTCAAATCCCTCATGTTTGGACGGATTACAGACGATCTCTGCCAGGCAATTTTAGATGATGAACGCGGCCTCCTAGGACGACATGAACTGGCACGTGTCCATGATGAGGATGAGGCGGCAGTGGCGTGTCAGTGGATTGAAACTCCATGGACAGCGGTTGATGCTGAATCTTGTGCGATGGAGAAACTGAATGAATTCCTTACTAGCATACCAGCAATGTAGTACTAGTCTGGCAGCTACAGTATATACCTAATGTCTCCCTTCTGAGAAAAGGAAACCTTTGGGAGGAGTTTGAGCCTGATTCTCCAATCCACCGGAGCTTTGATACATCAATTAGCGGTACTTGTCTCATTTTCCCTTCAGCTGTCGTTTTCGCACGAGTTTGATATCATTTGCCAGCCCTAGTGGGCGGTGGCTTTCCTTGTTTTTAGTTACAGCGCTGCAGAACAATCAACTATAGTAAATTAATTTGTGGTTCTTCAGTTCAGTATAGGGCAAAAAAGTAAATATAATATTTGACATACGACCTGGCCTATAGAATCGGTGGGGATCATAGAGCTCTTTCGCCTCAAGTCTTGTAGTTAAAAGCGGTCAGGAGCTCCGACCTGAAGCGTTTAAACTCCATGATGTCTAGGTCAGCCTTCATCTATGTCCATCCCAGTTTGAAGTCACTTTCAGCCAACTGGTTTGATTGTCGTTTACTTGTTTCCCTGGCTGTTACGTAAACAATAATAGCCACGTTCGAGATCCAACACGCCCCGGAAAAGGCCTCGCGTTGCAGCTATACATTCCACTTGATATTCCAGAGAAAGATGCACAAGCAGATGACGTTGAGCAAAAAGACATCCCAACCCTAGTTCGATTTTCCCGCGAACCGAGCCAGTCTGAGCTTCACCAAACGCATTCATATATGCCTAGGGCTCCTTCCTAACGGCTACTACTTCGACGACAGGAGGGACACTGTGTGCGGATGAGGAGAGCACAGCTCCAAAGTCGGAGCCTGTGATGGTGGGACCTCGAGGAGGTGTTTTGTCGCATTTGTTGAGGAATGACGCCCATAGTCCTGGACATGTCAGCAAAAGGCGTGTTTCTTCGACGGCCATGGGATCGGATATTGGCACGGCTGTGGCTTCGCCTCCATATGAAAAGAAGGGAAAGACCAAGTGATATAATAATAAACCCGAACATCAGACGATATCATCTCTGTTCCAGGAGTCGACGTTGAGCAGTCCAATCAAGATCTGGATGAGCTCCTCAAGCGAAATTGCAGGTACAACAAAACATGGTTGTGCTGTCAGGGATTGCCAGTGTGGCTGTTGGTCCTTGGGCGTTTAGTGCTCGGCCTATTGATATGCTCATCATTTTCCTCTCGGGCTGCATCCTCGGTTTCATGCGATATATCGTCGCCCCTCGGTCTGCCCAATGTCTTCGAAGTCAGTATCGCGATGCTCAACTCCTTCCTAGCCCAAGCCTTTGGCAGTATCTGTCACAATGGAGAGTCATTGTTCTGTTTCTCAGCCATCGCCCAGTCGTCTATCGCTTTGGTCTTCCCCTGTTTCTCCGTTCTTTGCAGTCTCGAATTACAGTCCCACCAGATTATCGCAGGTTCGATTCGTCTGGTTTATATCATCTACTCACTGCTCCTCGGATATGGTGTCACCGTTGGCACCGTTATTTACGGTCTACTCGATGGCAATACCACTCAGCAGTCTTCTTGTCCCGCCAACAGCTTGGATGTGCATTACAGCGAGTACATCCAACACTTTGTCTTCGTCGCCATCTACTGTTTCTTCGCGGCCATCCTCAACCAGGCTAAATGGAAACAAACGCCCATAATGGTTCTCCTTGGTACAGCTGGCTATGTGACCAACTACTTCAGCACGAAGAAACTCGGTTCCACCTCTCCTGTTGCCAATACCGTCAGTGCATTCACTATTGGCCTCTTCGCCAGTTTATACAGTCGTCTCTGGCACGGCCACGACGCTGCAGCGATCGTCCCGGGCATGTTCACACTCGTCTCCTCGGGCCTGGCATCCAGTGGATCAATTTTATCTGGATTGGCATACGCAGAGGAAATTCGGAACGGCACCGCCTCTCAAGATTCCTCTGCCTCGACTGTCCAGAACTCCTTGACTAGTTTGGGATATACTATGATCCAAACTGCGATTGGAATCACAGTTGGGTTGTTTATTGCTGCGCTGATTGTGTATCCGCGTGGAAAGCAATGAAGTGGTTTGTTTAATTTGTAGTTGGATCTTTCTGCATTTGCTTCGTATTTCCAGCGCAGATTTTTGAACATATGCATGCCTTCATTATTGGAGTATGGAGTACATACATTATACATACATAATTGCATCTACACCCAGTTTTGTCAATATTCAATAATCTATACTACACCCCTCAACCTCTCAACAGGTCTCTGTTTCAAAATCTCGTCTTCCGAGAACCAGTTCCCATGCAGCCCATACGGAACCCGTTGAGGCAGTACAACTCTAGTCACCACATCCCTCATATTCCTCGCATCAATAACCCACAGCTCGCTCTTCGCATCATCAACAGCATTGCCATCCTGATCAAGTTGCGATTCATCAAACACAAATGTTACCAACCACCCATCATCTTCTGTTACTGCATCACTACGTGGAATAAATGAACATTCCTGTGCATACCATTTATCCGGCATTTGAAAAACCGTCACCGGATCGTTAGGATCATCACTCTTCATAACCTCCTGTATAGATCTCCCATCCACACACCCTGATACCGGCGCTGGTAACTCTCTACCAGCACGATCCAACAACTCAGCCACGTCGATTTTAGTCAAACAGTCGATTTTAGGTCCTGCGCCGAGAGCTTCGTTAAATGAACCATTCCTGGTAGAACAACCATATACGAAATGGGTATTGCTCATCTCGAGATGAGGCGCGATATTCACGAATTCCAGTTCAATAGCCGAGAGAGCCCATTGTTTCGTTACTTGCTTGGTGGTGAGATTGAATTGGTAGTAGCATAATCGACATTGTTCTACCGTTTCGGTTGTGGGTGGTTGGATGTTGCCTGCGGAGAATAATACCGAGGCGGTTTTCATTCTGCAGCAGATCATGTTGACTTTGGATTCATTCTCACCCTTCTCAGGTGATAATGGCTCATCCCATGTATTGACCGTGTGAAAAATAGTACATGCATCCGTTTCAAACCATTGCACTTTATCTGGTGCGTATCGAGGGAACACACCGAATCTTGTTGTTCCATTCGGATTAAAGGCCACAACGGGTTTATTTCGGGCAAGATTAAACGGATCCAATGATAGGGGCATGTCGATGATGACTGTGTGATTATGTGAGACGCCAAAATCGTGCATCATTTTTGGTGAGAAGATGCCTGGGACGGGCATGTTGAGTAGGAGATGTCTAGCTTCTCCCTTTTGCTGTTTCTTCTCACTGGGTATGACGGAATATCGCACATATGGCTTGATAAACGTGGAGTGGAAGACAACCAATTCGCCAGTTTGGGGATCGACGTGTGGCTGTTATACTGTTAACGTGGCATGGTACTAAGGTAGTAGGTAAGATATACATACATGTCCTGTCGTCCATTCTCGGAGAGAACCCAGTAAGCCCGAGCCTCCAAAACCAGGCTTATCGTTAGCACTCTTGATACTCTCCCCCTCTGCTTTCCACCCATCAAACCATCCCACCGTGTACAGCTGAGGCAGAAACACCCTCATAGGTGGCCCACTCTCACACGTCGCCAACATCCTCTCATCATGGTGAACGATACTCGTATTCGCGACGCCGATTCTCCTAATCGGTCTCGAAAACCACGACCAGATCACAATACCAACCGTCCGCAGCATCACACATACAATCCTGACCAGACTCGACGCTGGATCAATCAACGTAGCAATACTGGGTAATACCGGCGCCCGGAGGAGAGGATTCTCAACCGCGGTGCGAAATACATCTGTAACCACGAAACGATTCACATATTCGGGTCTCACGCCATCTGTCGTGCGGCGAAAGAATACACCGCTCAGCATGCCATCGCCGTCAAACCAGTGCTCTGCCCGGTTGGGCTGCTGCGGGATATATGGGTTTGCGCCATTGCGGATGTATTGCCCGCCGATTAGTTCTCGGGGGATGGTGCCGTGGTATTTGCATGGTGTTAGGGTGTGTTGGTGGTGGACTGGGGCGAAGTTGCCCGTTTGTAGACTGCGTTGTGTAGAGTAATTGATTAGGTCTGTATTAGTATGAAGGTGTATATTGCTGAGGGTCTTACGGAGATTTGGATTGAGGTTTCGCTTTCTGAGACATGTTGATAGAAACTGGATAGATATCTGTCTTTGGTTTGTCGACAGTATTTCCGTCTCGCTTTTGGCAATGCGTGGTTTGTCTTTTACTATATATTTATGTATAATGTGGACTGTATCCACACTTTGTTCGCTCAGCCATAGTAATACAGTTCAAGAGTGATGTTCAAACTATTTGTAAGTACATAGCTAGGTATTTGCATGATCGTCACCATGCATGATGGAAATGTGTAGTATTACCACACACCTGCGGAAATAAAGCAGCAAAACAAAATATTCCGGGTATTTACTATATAACATTCCGTTTTCTCAGCACTGTCAATTCAGAGACATCATTTCAAAAATATTGACAATGGGACTAGACTATCTTCTGGTGTAAGTTTTTGTTGCCTGACTTGGAACATATGTACAGACTAACAATGTATGCTGTAGACACCTCACATATAACATCCCACTAGCAGTGGTGATGACAATTGCATACTGGCCATTCTTCACAAAACTAGATGTATACAGAATATCGACTCTCATTACAGTATGTCCTCTACTCCGACGTTCAAAACATTAACCAACCTCTTCAAGATTGCCGTACTATCCACCATCCCATGGGACTCGTATCTCATCGAGAACCAAATCTGGACATACCCACCAGACGCAGTTCTAGGACCGACAATATGGTCAATACCCATCGAGGAAGTTTTCTTCTTCATCATCCAGACATACAATACGAGTTTGTTGTATATTGTTTTAACTAAGCGGCTTGTTAAACCGATGTATCTTAGCCCATCGGATATGTGGAAGAGGAACATTGGGATTGTTTTTATCGTTACTTGTCTGGGTTTGGGTATTGCTGGCATACATTATGGGGGGAAGTTTACCTATCTCGGACTGATTGTGGGCTGGGTTAGTCCTTTTATGTTTATTCAGTGGTATGGTATCCCACATGTGCATGTTCTCGGAGATCTAGCTAGACTAATAGTGATGATGCAGGCTTGCTGCATGGAGTTTTATGCTTCGCCTTCCATGCAGAGAAATACTCCTTGCGATATGTATACCGACTGCATATCTGTGGTGTGTAGACACTATCGCACTAGGGAACGGGACTTGGGTGATTGAGAACAACACAAAACTCGGCATTCAGCTATGGGGTTGGTTAGACATTGAGTGAGTACCCTATCTATCTACGCCGCGAAAAGCGGTCATTAAGTCTAACATTTCTCAGAGAAGCGCTTTTTTTCCTCGTAACAAATGTCATGATCGTTATGGGGCAGATGGCCACTGACAATGCCATTGCACTGGCTGTATACAATATGGCTACTACCGATGAAAAGGTATCTGAATGTCCTTCATTTGGGCAATCGGTGATAGTGTTCATTGAGGGTCACAACAACCCACTGGACCTAGCATATATCAATGCCCTCGGTGATGCTGTTGAGAGGCTCAAACAGCGAAGTCAGAGTATGTATTTGGGTAGTGCTATGTTTGTGGGTCGGCTTCGGATTGACTTGATCTTTCTGTGAGTGACCTTTTACTGCCTGGATTATGAGTTGATAAGGCTAATTATGATAGATATTCCTTTTGTCGAGTTATAGATGATCTGGTCGATGAAGCACCAGACAGATATACAGCTCGCACTGTGGTACAGGAATGCGCAGTTCTCTTGCACAAAAGATTTGCAGGAGAGGATATCTCGAAACTTGCTCTTGCTCATCCAATGTTGCTATCTTCGATCGAACGACTGCCTATTGATCGGTTATCCATTGAGCCCCTACAAGGTCTACTCAAAGGGTTCGAAACCGATCTTGACTTTGACGCCGAAAACAACACGTTCCCCATCTCAACGGAAAAAGACCTAGAACGATACGCATTCCACGTAGCCGGCACAATAGCCGAATCAGTCATTGAACTGACCACACCCAATGCCGGATATAACGACACGCACCGACAAATCCTCACAGCAGGCCTACGCATGGGACAAGCGCTCCAATACGTCAATATCGCCCGGGACATCTCGCGCGACGCAGAAATCCACCGAGTCTACCTCCCAACCAGCTGGCTGGAAGAGAAAAACCTTACACCAGCACATGTTGTGAGTTGTCCAGATAACCCGCAGTTGAACGAATTGCGGTCAAGACTCCTCGACAAGGCGGATGAATGTTATCGATCGACGGAGCAGGCAATCGGGGAGTTACCATTGAATGTTCAGGGACCCATTCGCGTGACGGTGGAGAGCTATATGGAGATTGGAAAGATGTTGCGAAAGGGTGATTGGCCACGGATGAAGGGGAAGATGAAGGTTCCTCTTTTGAGAAGGTTGAGGGTGGCTTACAAGGCGTTGTTGAGTAGGTAGATGGACTGAATAGTGGGCAGAGTGGATGGGATCGAGCAGGGCGGTATACAATACATAGTGTCAGAGATGTGAACTCTAGAACTTGCAGAAAAAATGGAAATAGGAAATACAAGTGGGTCTAATGCCAGTTTCGGTCCACGATCATTTTCAGCTTGAAGTGGCGGTGGCCGGCTATGGTTTCCGCCATGTACAAGTTGCATTATTGGTGGAGCAAATCAATCTCAAAATCGTGGAAAAAACGTAAAGGACATAATATTACCTTTCAGGTTTTTTATGCTAAAATGTATGTATAAACCTAACTGGTATAAGAAATCACTGTGTGTAGAGCGTAGTGACAAAAGGTCACAAAGGGCATGAGAGATACCACCACAACCAGCATAGTCACAATCTTCAAGCACATCCCAACCAAAGAGCTTTTCTCGCCTGCATTCCAATCCTCCACAACCTGATCAGCCACCAACTTACTCCCTGCCAGACACACCGGGACGCCCGTCCCCGGATGCGTGCTCGCCCCGACGAAATACAAGCGCGCAATATCCGGGTGTTTGTTCTTCGGACGAAAGCTCAAAACGTTGAAGAATGAATGTGACAATCCGAGAATCGCCCCTCGATCTAGATTGAACTTTTCCTTCCAACTCACCGGTGTCTCGATGGATTCGTGTACCAGGATATCGCGTAGTCCCCGAACACCCGTTCGGGCTTCGATTGTGTTGAAGGCTGTTTCTCTTGCTTTGGAAACGATGGCGCCCCAGTCTGCCTGGGTTATAGGTTCAGTATTCTCGAGGAGATGACCGGTCGGGACTAGGACGACGACCGCATCTTTTTCGTCTGGAGCTGCGGTGGGGTCAATTCGACTAGGAACATTCACGTAGAATGATGGTTCGTCTGGTAACTTGTGATGTTTGAAGATGGAATCGAAGCTTTCCTCGTATTTCTCTGCGAGGAAGATATTGTGTGCTTTTAATTCGGGGACTACCCTGTCGAAGGACCAGAAAAATGAAATGCTGCTGCAGGATGCAGGGCGGTTTGAAAGGCGACGTGCTTCTTTCGATGCGGGGAGGAGATTTTGGTATGCGTAAACGAGATCTGCATTAATCACGACGATATCTGCGTCAAGCCTTTCGCCAGATGATAATACTACGCCAGTTGCGCTTTTGCTGTCGCCTGAGAGAAGAATAGAAGAGACAGGCGAGTTGAGACGATATTCAACTCCGAAGCTTTTTCCAATCGTTGCTATACTCTCCAGGACCTATCCCTGTCAGCTGTATTCATTCATAGACCCCTCGGTATGAGATACCTTTTGGAACCCCCCAGCCGGATACCAGATCCCATCTGCCAATTCCGTATATTGAAGCAGAGAATACGTCCCTGGAGCTTCATACGGATTCATCCCCAGGTACATACTGGCAAAAGTGAAGATCCTCCTCATCTTCTCAGACCGAAAATACCGACTCAATCGACCATGAATGCTTTCAAATGGATGCATCTTGAACACAGACAGTAGAAATCCAGGCCTCAACATACTCAGCAAACTGGGAAATCTACGTCGAAGAACATGAATGAGGGATAGGTCATAATGACGACCGGATTCCTGCATGAATTGTAAGAAGTTTTGAAAGCCTTCTTTGCCTTCATACTTTTCAATTTGGGACTTGAGGTTTGCAATGTCAGTGGATAGATCGAAGCCATCATTGTCGGTAAACCACAGTCTGTAGTTGGGTTCACATTTTAAGAGTTTAATTCCTTCCTCTTCCAGTGACGTTCCCAGTTGGTTGAACGTGTCATGGAAGACTTCTGGCATCAGCAATAGTGAGGGCCCTTGATCAAATCTCTGTCGAGTTGTTAGTGTATTAATAGCAGGTGGGAAAAAAAAGAAAAACTAACGTAGCCATTATGAGTGATGAGAGAGCATCGTCCACCAATAAACCCATTCTTCTCAATAACCATCACTTGAAAGCCTTGTTTTGCTAATCGAGCAGCTGTCGCTACACCTCCAGCTCCGGCGCCTATGATGGCTTAGTTACAACCACTTCAAACAGATGGATGCTTACCAATTACAATAGCCTTGGGTGTCATTTCTGCAATATCTTGTATGTTGAACTATACTCAAACATGTCTCGGAGACCTAACTACGACTTTAATATCCGCACATGGCACAACATCAACGCCAGATACACTTTCCATCCGCACACCGCAAGTAATCACCTCTACACCTGCGCAGCCCACAACACGAGGCCGAAATACGCCAATCCCATCACATCGGCAATCCCGTACAAAACGCCCTCCACACTAGGTGAGAGTATATTGGCCCCTTCACTAATACACCAGACCACTCCATACATCAGCCACGTCGCCATGCAGAACAAGGCACACACCATGTAGCGACTGCGTCTGGTGACATGTTTGGCTGAAACGTTTTTGTATCCAGTTACGATTGCTAGATACGTAATGCCAGCCCAGGGGAGAGCGCCATAGCCGCTGAATTGATTCAAAGTGTCAGTTGAGTGATCTGCAGGGGAGTAATAGATAGTAGAAATTGAACTACTCACAAATAAGCCCATTTATACGAGGACGGAATCAAAGCACTTATCAACGTCGTCACAATAGCTGAAAAAGATATCACGGCCTCCAAGAGAATGAGTCGGAACGAGGCCCCGGTGAGGAGACAGAGTTCAATCATCGCCAGTGGGGCTGATACAGTCCTAAAACGATCCACTTAGTACACTATCAAGGACTCCACATGTTCGATTTTAGTTTGAAGAGGGGTTCTAACCACAGAATGTAGCGAACCCAATAGACCTGTCGTGTCGGTGTGCCAACCCTTGTTTCTGCTCCTTGGGGAAACTCCACTTGGACCGCTACCCAGCCTAAATCAGCCCCCATGGCAAAATAGGCAAGACAGCCTGCATATGAGGACAATGCGGAGAGGTAGTATAATGTGCGTGTCGATTTTCTTTGGGTGAGTATCCCTGCAATAAGAAAGGCCAGTGTAGCGACGGTAAAGATGGCAGTTACTGCCCAATACCTGGTTCGATTCAGCAGGAGGTATACAGCCTTGAAGGATAGGTAATACTTACCAATTGAGTCCCCAGTCTGATACATGGATATCCGCTGGGACTGTGTGTGTCAGAATCTCTCTTGGGCGTAGCATTGTTGGTATGGGGGAATGATATACAGGTGAGAACAAGATCAAAAATCGAGCAAGTCTACAGAGTAGATAAAGCAGTATTCTACCCATCTACTCCATATGCAGGACACTGGTACTAGTACCTCAACAAACCATAAATGAAAAGCCTGGATCCATATCTAGATAGTTCTGCAGATAGCAGGTCTAACCGTCCATAAGATCCACTTTTAAGCCGATCGATATGATTTGTCAGATCTAAGGCTGATCGCTTCACGGAGCCCCTCCACGACATGCTCATCTCGCTCGGGGTTCAACAAACTCCCATCCATGAGCCATCCGGAAATACAACCAAAATGAGTGCCTCTTCATTTCACATGATAAAATTCGCCTTGTCGAATCCAGCAGCCTTCAGTCTCGATCCAGACGGTCCGATTCCATTTGTATACCGACTCATCACCGCAAAGCGACTATCCGCAACAGATCTTGATCTGACGCCTTTTCGAAATAAAAGAATTCTAATTGTAGGATCCAGCAGTGGCTGTGGACTGGATTGTGCGCGGATTCTAGCCCAAGCTGGATGCCATCTTATCATCACAGCCAGAAACGAAAGCAGGGGCGAAGAAGTAATAAAGGAGCTTAGGAATGGAGCTCATGTTGATACCACGGTGAAGGCGATGACGCTTGATGCAGCATACTTTGAATCTTTACATCGTTTTGGTGCGGATGTTCAACGTCTCTCGCATTTGGATATGGTGGTTCTCAATGCGGGGGTGTATCGAACTGATTATACCACTTGTCCGGAGACTGGTTGGGAAGAGACTTTACAGGTGTGTTTATATCAACCATGAAGATATATATGTACCGATTGACAAAAAAAGGTCAACTTTATAAGTACTTATATCCTCTCTCTCTTACTCCTTCCCCTTCTATTGAAGAGTCCCGTACAAGGCCGTCTACTCCTCGTATCATCCGAGGCACACGCATGGGCAAATATAGAAAACCACGGTCTCCACGACCTATTACACTCTCTCAACAACTCAGACAAATACAACTGCTATGACCGATATCACGCCTCAAAGCTTCTCGTTGTCTTGTGGGCCAAGGAACTATCCCAACGTCTCGATCCGCAAAAGGTGTTGGTCGCTTCTGTTTCACCGGGATACTGCCTTACAGGCCTCTTTCGGGACTTTAATACAAAAACTGTTTCGTACTGGCTGGAGCGGATATTCTGTCGAAGTGCTGAAAATGGCGCGTGCGAATATGTTGTTGCTCTGGCTAATTTGGACACTACGAGTGGGGGGAGGCTTTTTGCGAACACTACTGATTATCCGTATGTTTGGTGCGATATGTTTATATGTTAACGAGTCTAACATTTGTATAGACCGTCTCGAGCAGCGAGTTCAGAAATAGCGGAGAAGATTCGTGCCAGTATGTATCAAAATATGGCTGTCATTCTGCCGGAGTCGATATCAGTGTTGCTTCAACTGGACCAGCTAGATGTATAGACATCCCGTGTAACCAAATTGGAGTGGATCTGGTTTATCCCAACCCCTTCTTTAGTTAGATCGAGGCAGCATACCCAGGCTTCTCATGGATGATGTCTATATAAAGCCATCATCTACGCCCAGGACCTATAGAGAATCTACTCTTTCCACCTCCATCGTCATCCCCCCAAAGGCCGCACATCGAGTACACAATCCAACTAGTCAATCTTACGCTGTTTATCCATAGTAGAAATAGCCAATTTAGCATCCTTGATCCAAAACCAAAAACTGCCCATCTTCAACTCGGGAAACTCCTCCCCATTACCCTGCTTCCCCTTGACCTTTACTAACCCACCCCATCCAGAAATAGGAACTCGAGGTATCTTCCACCTCCCATCTGATAATCCTGCCATTCCATTTACTCGCCACTTATTACTTTGCGGCACAGATGGAATTGTAAAGTCCGGATTTATGGGAACGTAGGATGTAGACATTGGTAGGATCGGTCGAGAAAGGAGTAAAATGGGCTGGAGATCGAAATCGATGAATGTATCGTCTGGTGTTTCTGGAAGAGATACTTCGATTCGTTTGTAGGGAGGATATTGCGAGTCTGAGGGGTGGAATTTGAAACAGGACAGCTAAACCGAACAATACCCTACTTTTAAACGGTAAATCAAGTCTGGAATAATTTCACCTGCTTCGGAATATTCCAATCACTTCTCCCATTGCACGTAGTGTCTATACTCGACACGTATATCCTCGTAATCCTCGCTCGTTTCTTGCCCGATGGAGCCTCAAAATAACCAGGTATTCACATAACCTCATCATACGGTCCAACCGGTGTTCGACTGTATCTGAGAATCATAACCACAGCAATACCTCCAACAAATTTCCCTGTCTCATTTTGATCTGCAAAACTGGTCACCGCTTCAATGGGGCCATACGATGCCGGTGGAAGACTTTGGATGCTGGTCATCGAGATACACAGGTGAAAATATCTGTTATGGGTCACGATTAAATTATCTAAACCTAATGGTGCCTATCGTACACGAAAGAATTGTTGAAGAAAGAAGAGAAAAACAAAGATCTCCGGGTGGGAATGGGGTTTGTTTGTACGGCGAGGCATCCCTTGCTGCATCCTTCAGGCTACCAAGCCTCGTACGGAAGGGTGCCCTTCCTTTACCAGTTCAGCGATTCGTGCTGGCTTTGGCCAAACTATCATCCTTGAGGGTTCGTACGAGAACCCCATAACAATACCCCCCCGCTTCATCCTGAAGTGAATGCACCTCTTTTGTATGAGGCTTCTGTTTTGTAGTGAATGAGAAGGCCAGACAAGGATATATAACCCTTTTCTTCCCACTTCCATTTGCCTTTTCAACTTAATTTCCTTCTAACTCTTACCTTCTTCAACAGCAGTCCCTCACTTTACTCTCAACTCTCGAACAGCTTCTTTTGCTCTTTCCTCATCATCATGGCAGAGAGTACTGCAGGATCTGAGCATGCGCTGGTTCTTTTGCGATTTAGGCGTCCATTTCGGATTTTGTCACAGGCTCGGACTAGTAGATACTAACGAAATGATATTCCTATCTAAACTAGTGTAGCCATCGACGAGAATATCGAATCTGGGGAGAGAAAAGGAAATCTGTCCACAGGAAAAAGGAATTTTATCTATGCATTCCGTGGCCGCGCTAAGTGCTTTCTTTGCTTTCTCAGATGGCAGTGTTTGTTGATATTGGCCACTGAAAATATGACTATGATGATAGGACCGGGGACTATGATTATGCAGCCCGCATCCTTTCACTATGGCCAACGCATACACTCATTATGCACTTTGTACTGCTTTTGTCTCTTTGAACTTCTTTCACAACGACCTTCCCTTTTGCGCCTAGTTGACGGCTGTCATGGAGCATGGACGCTCGCAAGATGTATAGCATGTTTGATTACTTTGACCTGGTTGGCGTAGAACATTCACTGAGCATCGCTTAAACCCCTCACACACACTAAATAGCTCGTCGCCGACAGGCCTGCCTCTTTCCTTTCCCTCCTCATGTTAGAATTTCGTCAGATAGTCTACCAATAGATTCATATTGCTCGATACCGTCACGCAGTATGGGATACATTAAAAACACATGCTGCTTCACGAATTGAACCTATTTCTTGCTTTTGAATAACTGATATTGTGAGTAAAACGCTTTCCTCTTTCTCAATAGAGTTGTTTGGCTTAGGGTGCATTTTTGGTGGGATGGTAGTGGTTTGAATATAGTCAAAAGAAGGCGCGTGTTGAAGATGTGTGGGGTGGAACACCCACCTGTGTACTGCTTTGATACTAGATGTGGTGGTATATTATACAAGTCTAATGTAATTTAAATCTTTACTATAATGATATTCCCAGGTGCCGAAGTTGTTATCCTAAAATGCATGATCATCCAGGTGTGTGACGGCTCAACGGCTCAAGTTCTCAACGCCAGACAAACAGCGCCAACATATCAAACGATGCCATACAAGCAATAAGGGCAAACAAGGGCTTAAGCCGCACTACACAAATGTCTATAAAAACCGTTCATCACCTAGATAGATTTCCTTTTCTTCTTCCCCAGATTCGATATTCTCGTCGTTAGGCTACCTAGTCTAGATATGAATACACAATCAGACACTCGATCCTCATACGATTCCACTGGTGCTAAGGGGTCTATCTTTGCTCGTACAACCTAGTAGAGTTGCGAGCATAGATTAGTATACCTTAATATAATGGGACCTGGGAACTCTAAATTATGCATGGTAGGATATAAGTTGACATTATGAACGTCTATAACAGCTACCATGCCAGCTCTAGCTACGACTACACCAACGAAGTCCACTGCCGAAGAAAAGCCTAGGAGTCACGTCGACGTCTACAATATGCTCAAGCCTGTGCACTCTTTAGCCTCCAAACTGCTATATCAGCCGACGCAATCTCAGAACCATCCCCACCAATTAGCAGCTCAGCACCCTCGATGGCAGGAGCTTTCGCAGGTTCTAAACCATAGTTAAATCCCCAGAGCAAGGTCCCCCTTTTCGCAAACCGCAGCGTAGGTCCAAGGTCATTGCTACTATTGGCCTGCCGCCCCGCAAAATCAGTAATCGCTGCGTCCTTAGCGACGTGACCTAGGTATGACACGAGCAGGTCGACCGGAGGATTAAAGCCAAGATAGTGCAGCCCATCCATTGAGCAGGCGGCAGGCTGACCGGGGCGATGTGACGAAGAATATGTCATTGTCACAACGCTCGTCCGGTTCTTTCGCTCGCAGACCACCCACTCTTCCCAGCCTGAAATATTAAACGTCTTTCCCGCATAGGTGACGCCGCTATCCGCGTAACTCGGCGGTGTCTCTACCCGGGTGACTCTCATCGGTAGGCGGTCGTGGAGCGGGCCTTTCGAGGGGTTGAGACCAGGGCTATAGCTGAACGTAGCTGTTTTAGAACCCGTGTGCGGCCCAAAAACGATGGGACCGCTGTATTCAGCTAGTGCTTGGTTGAATGCTCTGGGAATGATGGGTAAACTCGGCACGACGACGAACTTGTAGCCGTGAATCGGTTGGTCGGGGCTAATCACATCAACGGAAAGACCGAGGCGGCGGAGAGCGGAATAGAAGTTATAGACGATGTCCATATACTTCACAGTTGGATCCATATAGCTGAATTCTTTAGGGCTCCAGTCCCCGCTGTACGGCTCGATAGCCCAAACCTGGGAAGAAACGTAGTCAAATATGAGAGCTACATCCGCTTGGTGCTCTTCTTCTTGATCGCTATTGAGTGCTTCCCCTAGCGTCGGTAGATCTTCGTCTACCACGGTCCGAAGCTCGAGAAAGCCTTCGTCAGTGGTACCATCCGGGGTAAACAGGCCGGACAGCGTCTGCTCTTGCGCATACGGGACCTGACGCCAGCGGAAATATGACACCATATCACCCAGATCCGCGAACGTCTCGTGCGTCCAGAGTCTTACCATGCCTCCCAACGGAGACACCCGGTAAGGGCTCCAGTTCAGAACGCCGGTTTGCATTTCCATGACGCCGAACGGTCCGGATGTTTTGTTGTAGGCGACACCCGCAACGCCGCGATAGAGAGCGTGGCTCAGCGCCTGTGAATCCGGTAGACCGGTGTGCAGATATTTTGCTTGTTCTTCTGAAGAGAGCCACGAAAACGAGCTCAGATCAAGGGGGTACTCATCAAATGTTGCGAGGTCGAGTCCCACCTCACGCGAGAACTTGAAGTGGTCGAATTCGGCAAAGGCCATCATAAAGTTGGTTGTGATGAATTGTGTAGGCGCATATTGCCTCAAGATTTCCGACTGCTGCCGCGCGAATTCGATCATCATGTCTGAGCTGAATAGGTACCAATCGAGAACATGGCCAGGCTGTGGCGTGTAGACTTGCAGAAACGGGGGCTGAACTACGTCAAAGCTGGTATATTGGTCCGACCAAAACACACGGCCCTGGGCAGCGTTAAGATTGTCGATGGTGCCGTACTTAGTCTGCAGCCATGCCCGGAATCGCCTGATGGCATTATGATCGTAGCTCTGCGTGGTATCATGACATCCAAATTCATTGTCCAGTTGCCAGCCCGCTACGGTGGGGTGGTTGCCGTACCGCTCCGCTAGTTTTCGCGTAATGTTTTGGCTCAGTAGACGGTAGTCAGTCGAGGATGTGCTATAGCCACGGCGAGACCCGAAGCGCAATGTGGTATTGGTGTGGTCTACAAAGCTGACGTCGTACTTTTCGGTGAGCCAGTTGGGAGGACCTGCCGTGGGCGTCCCAATGATTGCTTTAAGGTCATACCGAGCGAGCAGCTCCAGAGTCCTGTCGAGAAGAGTGAAATTGTATTGCCCCTCGGTTGGTTCTAAGATGGCCCAGTCGAACTCGTTTACTCGCACATACGATATGTTGGCATCTCGCATCTGAGCAATGTCAGACTTCCACACTTGCTCCGGCCACTGCGACGGGTAATAGTCGACAGCCAAGTGAATTCCGCGTGGCCAGCGATTGAGGGAAGGTGCGAGCGATAGCTTTTGTTCTGATAACCCGGGTGTGCGACTGTACGGTGTAGCACCGACAGCACAAGCAGCAACAAAGGCAGCAGAGGCTATTAATGGGCGAAGAAGCATAGTCGCAAAAAAAGAAAAGGTAGTCAGACGATTGGTTTGGTTGCTGAAACCTGTAGGGTCAGCAATTCCATAATGCTTTACCAGATCATCTTATATGAGACTAGCATCTCAACTCGGAAACACTTTTATCTTTTTAATTTTAATTTTAATTTTTATTTTTTAGCCGAGTTGAGGGGGATATTAACCGAATTGAGGGGATATTAAGACAATCCAAGGCGACCTGGCTTATTAGTGACGTAGAAGAATAAAATGGCGCAGAAGGGCAGATCTGCAGGTCTGTAAATAATGGATTTTATGAGCTGTATCGTCTACCTATGCTTCCATCTAATATCTCTGTGTCCGTCGTCTAGTCTTACTGATTTGCACATAGCATGAAGTAGAGCGTTTGCTTGGTACACCAATAATAACCTTATATTATGATTTCTCAGTAGAATATCAGCACAAATTCAAAGCCGTGGAAGTACAAGCACTGGGAATTCAAAGAAGTCTGATACTTTATTATATTCTTAATAGCGTCAGAATAATATGCAGTTCAAGATAACTAGATCAATTTCACTATTATCACGGGCTCGGTAATTAGTAGATAAAACGAATGAATGTCTACAGAGTACATATTTATATGGAAATTGAAGTTGTTGACCCGCCTGCAACCGTCTGGGAAGCGTGGGTGGGACAGAAGGCTCGAAGGCACGAAGATAGGGAACAGATTCTGGGTCAAAAGCTGGGGTTTTCTGGCGATGAGCGCTTATTTCTGCCGCAAGAATGCGGCGACTTTCTTTGTTCCGGATTAGGTGGAATAGGACGGTAGTGAGCATTACGGCTGTCGAGTCTGCCCCTGCGAACACAATGGCTTTGCATTGGGTTACTGTTTCTGTCTCAGAGATTCCCACCGCTAGCAGGCGAGATTGATAGGTGGATGTCAAGCCCAGGGAATCAGCCCGGGGCATGACTCTTGCGGCGAACGTGTTGAGTTTCTGGAATGATTGGATCGTTTCTTCGGTTAAGGTCAGATGGGTGGCCAGACGGTCGACTTGTTGGAAGAGCCAGTTAGGTAGCAGGGAGAATCGCGAGAAAGCGACGATGGCGAATATGAAGAGGTTGGCGCTGAGCTTGTTGCTCTGCTGTTCCTGCGCGGAGAGGTGTGCGGTTTCGGCGAAGCCCCCGTAGGGTTTGCCGAGAAGGTACTCTGTCACCACATCGATAGAGAGACGGGCGCAAAGGTCGACGAGATCGAATGGAATCTTTTCGGACTGGTACGTGCGGAGGTGCTGGGTGAACTGAGCGATGGATTTTCCGATGGGCTGGTTGGAGGAACCCGGGCGGGAGCAAATAGAGGGGCGACAGCTTTGGCGCGCCGGTCGCGATATTCTGTATCGATGGCGGAAAAAATGGAGACGATTGGGCCCAGGTTGAATTTTGTGTAGCGGGCATCCTTGGGGAAGCCGCCGTTGGCAATGTAGATGTCGCGGAGGGCGGTGCTGTCGGAGATCGAGACGCTGTTCGGTCCTACGCGGAGTACAGATGTGCGGTAGCGACGGTGAAGGGAGCGAAGTACATGGCCCTCAATGCCCAGAGAGCAGATGGCGTATAGGAATAGCGGGCTGGTGGCGGCGAGAAATGGACCGGGGACATGGCAAAGGGGGTGGAAGAAGCGCCGGTGGATGACAAAAAAGAGTAGCGCAGAGGCCACAAGGGGAGGAAGTGTGTCTAGGATCATGATAGGAACCTTACGGGCCGTATTTGCTGCGTGTAACAGAATTTGCGATATTTCTAGAAAAATTTTAGGCGGATGTTTCTTTGTTGGAGAATCTACTCGGGGTCTGGGCAGAACTATCTGGGGTTATCATCGCCAAGTGGCAAGAATAGACATGTGGAGAGCCTCTAGGAATAATTGGGATGCCAAAGAATTAACAATTATACCAAAGGCAACTATAGTGTCAACACGATGAATGGCCATTCGGACATCATTAGCGTCCTCAACGGGTTACTCCCGCCTCCTTGGAGACTGAAGACCAGAGAAGCAAAGCTCTCCAGGCGGCATATGCTCTCGTGGCACGACTGGAAACACCATGGGAGACCACAGCTCGACTTTGTATGGGCCAGGTATGCGCATATCTTTGATACAGGATACATCAAATTTGGCGACTAACTGTGAACCAGTCGACGACATCGTTGCCCTCCACTGTATGTTTTTGTCAATGCAAGTATCCTGCGCCAAGTCATGGCTAGAATCCGGACCCAAAACGGTCTTCGGCCGCTGCCTGAATTCAACTTTCTACTGCGCTCCCTTCATTCTCTGCGGGCTTTATCGACCAGCAGCTTGGCTGCGTCGTTCCCCAGTTTTTCTTTTCGTAGCAGAGCATTTGAAAATACACCTCCTTTTCCTTTTCTTTCACCCCGGACAGAATACTAATGCGAGCAGGAAGAGCCTCAATTGCATTGTCTTCCGTTTTTGGAACTACAGAAGCAGATTCTGACGCAGGTACAGCCTTGTTCGGTGATTTACTTGGCCTTTCTATGGCACTCCAGTATCCGCATTCCAATGTTTCAGGGACTTTTCTTAACTGTTTTCTGGTTGATGAGCACGTTGAAATTCTTGGATATCATACCCTAAAACAACGCCCATTGAGGACATCAAATTTGGTACAGACAGAGACAGAAAAGCACTATTCACCTACAGTAGGAACAAACACCAGTCTCAGAAACATACATGGTACACTCATTGCAGCAGTCAGCAACTGATTGCAAAAATGACCAACCGGATTCACAACAAAGCAGCGAGTGTTAAAAGATGGTGATGCAGTGACCATATTTTTTCAAGGACACGGGGATGTGACCGGCAGTATGTAGATGGGCTGACCCACAGTTAGCTCTGATGCCAATGGCTTTGATGGAGTAAGTATACTTCATTATTACTTATTAAACAAATAATTAGTTAGAGAGATAACACCTCAGGCCTATCAGGCATTCATGAAAAACTTCCAAAAAGACAAGAAGCCCAACTCTGCTCTATTGTGCTTATATACATGCATGCGTCTTGCAAACTTTTGATTTTGATAACTTGAACTGTCTATAGAATGCCCCGAGTCCAATAACTTGCAATGCAATGAAATCCAAGGTCATATACAATGAAAATAGACGATGCCACTTGAGCTGAATTTTAAATCACTCAGCTTTCTTCGAAGCCTTAGTGCGCAGTTTCATCAAGAAATAAACAAGTGCATAAGAGCTGATGGCAAAAAGCGCCACAATCGCGGCGTCGCGCCACCCATAATAATATGCCTTGAGATTGAGGGTATAAAGATAATCACTTCCCATCCGATATTGACACACTCGACAGTCTGAGGTGGCCTCCGGATTGGTCAAGTCCATCCGGGATCCCGGGCCTTCCATATAGGAGGAAAGATACTGGCCACAAGTGGATTCGTTAGGTGGGTTGAACGCTGCGAACTCATTGTCAGTACAGTGAACCTCCACATCCCAGACGTTAAAGACCAGCAAGCTCCCCATAAGGTACTTGAACGGGTTGATATAGTAGAGCCAGTACCGCCAGAACACGACGATTTCCGAGTATGGCACATAAACACCGCTAAACGAGGACAGAGTACCGATAACCAAGGGATTTACCAGAGACGCAAAAGTGGCATTGGGGGTGTAGGCCGCAATAAACTGCCCAATCCCAGTGTAGACAAACTCATACATCAACATCACGAAAAAGGTTGCCCCGGCTGTATTCGCATCGTTAGGGAAACCGACTGTATAATACCAACACACAAAGTACAACACAGCGCAAATGCAGAGGTAAGGCAACTCCGAGACGATCAAAGCCGTCACAAAGGCTACCCACGAGTACATTTTGGACTTCTTTTCACGGGCTTCATAAATGTCTCGGCGCTCTAGGAAAAGTGGCTGCAACTGGTTTATCACTCCCGGGGCCACGAAAATGAACTGGAAAATGGTAAACAGACGCAGTTCCAGCCCAGCGATGCTGTTTCCTATCATCCAAAATGTAAAGCCATTGAATAGGGCAGAACTGATATGCAAGAGAAATTTGCTGTTGATGTATTGTGTATTTCGATACAATGCAATGCACATTCGCGCAGTAACAATCTTTGTCTGTTCCCAAAGTGGCATGGCAAATTCACTCTCATGATCATCATGACTTCCCGGGGGTTTGGATGCTGCATTGTGGATGGTGTCGTCGAGCTCCTTTATCATGCGCTCATGTTCAGGAGATTCACGCCATACCTGGCTCCAGTCGCGGCCCTGGGAAAGATGACCTGATACCACATCAACCATGTGTTCAGCAGGGTTAGCGTTAGGAGGACATGAAGCATTGTACCGAGCGAAGTACTCTTTGACAGTTTGCCCATTGTCACCAATGTCCCCAAAATAAACTGTTTTTCCGCCCTTGGCCAGAAGCAATAGTGTATCAAATTCAGCAAACAGCTGTGCAGATGGCTGGTGAATGGTCACCAGCACAGCCTGTCCCACATTTGCCAGCTTCCGAAGGAAACGGACAGTGTTAAAGGCAGATTGACCATCTAGACCAGATGTTGGTTCATCTAGAAAGATCAAGATACTTGGTTTTGAGACAAGCTCCACCCCAATGGTGACCCGTTTTCGCTGTTCCACGCTCAATCCAGCGCCAACGCGGCCGATTAATGTGTCTTTAATGTCATGCAACTCTAACAGGTCAATGATGGTGTCAACATACTTCAGCTTCTCATCACGAGGGACATGGCGTGGTTGACGAAGCAGAGCAGAGAACGCTAGAGCTTCATGTACAGTTGCAAATGGTTCATGGACGTCTAACTGCTCACAATACCCAGTTGACCGCTGGAAGGAAACCGGCAATGGGCGCCCATCCACCATGATGCATCCCTGAATCGTGCCTTCGGTCTTTCGCTGAGCCAATACATCTAATAGAGTTGTCTTTCCAGCACCTGATGAGCCCATCAAGGCTCCAAGCATTCCAGGCTTCACCCAACCATGTACATTGTCTAGTAATACCTGGTCCCCAGAAGGTGTTTTGACCGTGTAACTCAGATTCTGCCAGGTGAACACTGAGGTATTCCGGATTAACTGCTTGTCGACTTCGTCGGATGCCTGAAAGTTACTGTCTGAGACCGACCGCCCATCTTTTTCTGGGACTTGGGATTCCTCATCTTGATGAGGCACTTGCCGGTCCCGCGACAGTCTCTCGCGCGGGATGAGTAGGCAACTGCCACTCTCAGATGGCGATTGCCACCGGGATGTTGCGATGATTGTAACAACGACGTATAATGCCCACCATGCCCAGAGAATGCCAAAATTACGCCAGACATGCGCATGGCTGTATGACAATGAACCCAAGTACTGATCGCCCGTTACAAAAGTGCTTCCCTGGACTGCACCCCCAACGCCAGAACAAGACTGGTGCTGGGAATCGCGATAGCCAGGCCCTGAGGGCACGAGATTGTTGCCCACGCATGGAATTATTTTCTGGTGAAACTCATTGGCGAGCAAGGATTCGAAAGCATATGATAAGGGATCGATCCAGTGGATCCAAGCGAGCCATGGATGCATCTGCGGCTGGTGAATCATGTAACCGATATATATGATAAGTGCCGAAATGAGGAATCCGGACACCTTGGATGCCCCGTCAAAAGTCTTAAAGACCGCGCCGATCGCCCGAAATAAAGCCGTCATACACTAGAGTAACGTTCATCAGCAATGAATTCTTGAGCTAAGCCACACAGGTAAGAACGTACAATGGTGGAAGAAAAGACAACCACCCAGTAGGTGAAGAATGCGGACGCTGACATGGTCAATCCCACCATGAAGTACAAAACCAGGGAGAATAAGGATATCTGCACGAGCAAGACAGGTATATCGGCAGCAATTTGGGCAATGCAGAATGCGGCAGGATGAAAGAAGGCAAAGCCTTTGTGTTTGATCAAAACGGGCCGGCCACTGAATGAAGCGGTAACTTCGGACATGGCCAGCAGGCTGTGATACAGAACAGAGAAAAACAGCGCACCAGATTTGATGAACAGACCACTTGAATCGTCCGCGGCGTTATAGAATAGAGACCCTACAAGCAAGGACTGTACCAGTGTGGAGATCTGTTTCATGATGACTGTTGCTTTGTCTCCCCAGAGAATCTGGTATTGCCGGATGATACAGGTCTTCACTTGGTGCAAGAAATGGGTGGTCAATGGGCTGTTCTGGGGTAGATGCTTATGCTTTTCATGGGCGATAGCGGCCTTGAAGTCTTCAGTGCGTTCGCGTGCAGAGGCTGTGTCCGGATAGTCATACTCTGCCATCATTTGCTCGTGGATAGGGGTCTTTTCGTATTCTATGCGGACCATATCCGCATTTCGGGGGAAACGCTGCTCATAGCCCGGTCGAATTTGTCGTTCAGTCGGTACTGTGATTCCAGAGAGGAAGTCCGCCACGTTTGAGCCTTCGTGACAGAGGAATCCCAAATTCTCCATTAAAGAGCGGGCTTGGGACGTGGGCCCGTAGTAAATTTGTTTTCCCTCATCCAGCACAAGCACCTTATCAAACAGATCATAAATTCCGTTGCCTGCTTGGTACAGTGTGACAATCATGGATAAACCCAGGATATCAGTCATGGCGCGAATTGCTTTCGTCCATTCTAGTGCGGTGCTGGCATCCAAGCCTCTGGTGCTGTTATCCCAGCAAAAGACAGAGCCTCGCGTGGCCAAGCATTCAATGATAGAGATCCGTTTCCGCTCCCCACCCGACACTCCGCGCACATATTCATTGCCTACCTTGGTATCGTAGGTATGAGAGATGCCCATTGATTCAAGGAGGAACTGCATCATATCCTGGCGATACTCCTCGGCTGACTCGATCCCATCCGGTAGATGGAAGGGTATCTTGAGTTGAGTGGCAAAATCCATTGTCTGGCCGACAGTCAGGGTGGGAAAGAATAGTTCCTCTTCCGTGTTCATGACAATCTGGCCTCTATACTGCGCGGCTTCGTCATGGGTTAACGAACCAAAGCGAACATCCCCGTTGATGGATTTATAGCCCCGTCGGTGATTGGAAAGCATTCGGAGGAGGGTGGTACAACCCGAGCCGGGTCGTCCTAGGACCAACAGCATTTCGCCCGGCTTGACACAGCCGTGGCTGTTTTGAAGGACTGATCGCATTGCTGGTTTGTCGCATGAGCCCTTCACGTGCTGATGGATGTTGAATTGTGATAAGGCATTCTCATTCACGGCAGCCTCCGCCGTACTGACAACCTCCACACACAAGTTTTTCCAGGTAACTCCGAGTTCTCGGCGTTTGAACCTGGAAGCAGCATCGCGGTCGCGCTGATGCTTAACATACGGCATCAGGCTCCAATTCTCTGCACGGCTAACAATATCATGGCCGGACGATGGCCGCTTCTCTAGCCTGCCGGCGAAGGAAGGGTCAGCCTCATCGTCAGACCCAGGAGGTTCTGACTGCGGGACTGAAGAAGACCACCGATTCTTCATGGTTGATAGTCCGAGGATCGACGACACGGAAGAGACTGAAGGTGAGGGAACGGCGACAGAGGGCGCCCACCCTCATAATAAAAGCTATACGTAAAAGTTTTTATGGCGTTGGCCAAATCCTGGGGTTTTAATCCAAGGCCAATTTCGGACAGGCGATGGCCCACTTGGACCCATAACGGATACACACGGTGGCACTTGTACAGGCAATTGTATGTACATAAATACTAATTAGCCACCAAAACCACCAACGAAGCATCATGATGGACGACGAGAGATAACTAACGTTCACTGTTAACCTCAAACAATACATTTTGAGTGGGCAAGTACGCTTGATTCGGCCACCTTGCTAACTACGGTGGCACACTCGACCTACATAAGTCATTACATGCGGCCGGAATTCTGCCGCCGCTCTCCGTGTCCGATGTCTTTCGGGGTCCGGTTATTCAGTCAGAGTCAGTCAGCCCGACGCGAGAGCCTAGGTGACACGTGCCATCCCGGATACTGATGAGGATATTGAAACGGGGAAGCTTCGGGGCAGCGGTGCTGATTCTCCGGATTACCTTACAAGGCCCATATGACAGCCGTGAGCCGTAGAGACAGTATCGCGCAGTAAGGAATGTACGTAGTATTGAGTCTGCTGTAGAGTGCTTACTCGAACTAACTAAGAGTGTTCCATCGCCGTACGATAAAACTTCTCCGGAGCTCACTAGATCGGTCCGATATTCATCCGAAATTCATCCGATATTCATCAGATATATCGGACCAAAAGGATAACATTAGTCCGATTAAACGAATCTCCGATATATAGGCCACGGTGTATGCACACATAGATAGGTAAGCACCCAAGCACTCGTGTGTCCATATGGACGAGAATATATCTACCCATTCGTTTCAATTAGGTCTCTATCATATAGGTCTCGTGCAGTCCGGATAATCGACTCCTCCGTCTTCCCCGACGACCTCCGAGTGATCTTATCAATATAGTGAAGCGGATAAACCAATGAAGCGGTTAAATTTCCGAGTCGGGGAAGTCGGGGAGTCGATTATCCGGAAATTTGAAGAGGTAGATATTCCTGCTCACTTAAAGTGCAAACAAAGGAAATGTGTAAAGTGGCAAAACAGTCTATGGTGATAGCGGTCAACTCCGTGACACGCATCTGCTTCAAACACTTGCATGCAATAAGCAATTGACATATAGAGCGCGCGCAGTGAATCTCCAGGAATTTATCAGCCAAAGATTGGATCTTGGAAGAAGTGTGCCAGATCACACTCTTGCTAATACAGTGGAGGCTGTCCTGGGGGCTGTTTGGCTTGATTCCAATAACAGTATACCCGAGGTGGAAAACGCCATGGATAAGCTAAGCATTTCCCAAGATGAAGAGGAGATCCTGTTTTCTCCGCCCCAAGGGTCTTGAGAAGCCCGAGTGACAGCTAAGGATTATGAATACAGAGCTGAGACTAGATGTCTTACTCCAAGAAATGACCCCTTCCAAAAATAGCTTTCTCCTTTTTTCGGATATCCGCTCTTTTTTCTCAGATAGATAGATAGACTTCAATATATTCGCTCGCTTCTATTGTCTCATTCTAGCCTTTTGGGCGTACCGCAATACGTTGCTCCACAGGCGCCAACAAAACAACTAACCAATACAACGAGCTACTACTACTACTATTACTACTACTACTACTACTACTACTATTACTACTATTGGTAATGGCTCATGCTGGGTGGAAGATCTTGAGTCCTTGTCCCCCAGTTGCTCTCCTTCTCACCCAACTCGAGCTCAAGCACACCACCCTCTATAAAAAAATCATGGAGGAGCCAGTTTTGGGACCAGGGCTTGCCGTCCCGCTTGGCGCTTTGGATGTAGATGGACTTGTAGTTGGGATCAAAGTTTTTATTGCGAATAGTGGCCACGTTGCCCGTGATGCTGTTGCGGAGGCTGACTTCCTTGAAGAAAGGAGCGCTGATGAGGTAGACGTCCTGGCCGGGAACGGGCCAGAGTCCCATCATCGTCAGAACAGCAAACGAGCCCATCGCTCCGCTGTCGTCGTTACCCGGGAGGCCGGCGAAGCTGGTATTGAATCGTGATGGGATGTAGTAGTGTGCGCGCTTGGTCGACAGAGCAGGTCGTCCGGTGTAATGATACTGGAAGACAGGTAGGAAGGCCTGTTCATCGCCGATATCGAGGATACTGGCCTCATGCAACAAATCAAGTCGGGAGGTAAAGTTTTCGGGACCGCCGAGATTGGAGATCAAGGACGCCATGTCCTGAGGAACGTAACTATTACTTGTTAGTACCACTCCTTTTGCACTGAGATCAGAAGGTGTGTGAGCCAGTTGAGCAGGCCGGGAGACCAAATTCTCGCGTCGACCTGCTCAACAGTGGTTCGGAGACGTACGTGGTGTATAGCCAGGAGCTCCCTTCATATGTAGGACCTCCGTTAGGGTCAAGATAACACGATTCATGACCTATGAGAGGAGAGCAAAAGATAGGATCGTGATGTGCCCAGGTCAAGTTCAGATAACGAGGCTCCAAAAATCCAACAAAGCCGGTGTCTGTGCCATTAATGGCAGAGCGCTGATCTTTCTTCAGCAAATTCTTCCAGTTGGAAGCACGTTCAATGTACTTCTTATGGTCCTTGGGATGCCCCATGCGCTTTGCCATTTCAGCAATACAGAAGTCATTGTAAGCGTACTCTACGGTCCTCGAGACACTACGGGTATGCGTGCCGGTCCCGTCTGGATCATAGTCATCTTCTGGGATAAAGCCGAGCTTCTTCCAGCTTCTGAGCCCACCACGGCCCTCGACATCCCAATTGGCCGGCTCGATTTCAGCGTCCTTTACAACCGCCTCGTACGCCATTTGCCAGTCGATATCGACGACCTTCTTCAAAAATGCGTCTGCAATCACTACGTCGGCGTTTGAGCCGCCTTGAGTGTATCCCTTGCAGAGCGACATGCGACAGTCGGGGAGAAATCCTTCATGGCGATATGTCTCGATTAAACTCCGAACCATGCGAGATTGTGATAGGGGGTCCATCAAGGTCAGCAACGGATGAATGCTGCGGTAAGAGTCCCATAGGCTACAAGATAAGTTATTAATGTTAGATTGGTCTCCTAGTAAGGGGCTTTTTGACGTCTCCGTGGCCGTATGCTTACCAGTAGAAGCTATCATAGTACGGTTCATCACTTGTCCAGAGCGGATTCTCTCCCGTATAGTCTTGTGGGCTGATCATGGTCCTGTACGCGCCACTCCAGAAGACCATTTGAAGCTCCTGGGAGACCCCATCGGCGTCGACGGAAATAACTTCCAGTTTTTGTCTCCATGCATCTTCCGCTGCAGAGACAGTGGCTTCGAAGTCAAAGTCGGGCTGCTCTGTCTCTGCATTGTGGCAGGCCTGGTCCACGCTCATGAAACTGATACCAACGCGCGCCATTATGGAGTCGTCATTGGGCGCGTGGAACCAGACAAATGTTCCAGCAGAATTACTGGACGCCGAGATAGTGCCTGATGGATCCATAGAGACACTTTTCAGATCCGTACCCGCACGATTCTGAGTCCAGACACCCGTATCACGGATCTCGGCGCCCTTGAAATCAACGCAGAAATGCGCATCGTAGCTGCCAATGCCGAAACTTGGGCTAAAGGTACCATTTCCGGTGAGCCGTCCGGTGGAAGGGTCGACCGAGGCAGAGGCGTTTGTTCGTGATTGAGGCAGATCCATCAGGTCAACCAGAATGACTGGACTGAGGGCGGAAGAGGAATTGTTGAATTTGAAGCGATACAAGGCAGAGTGATTGGTGGTAGTCATTTCCGCATGGACACCATTTGCAAGGTCAATACTGAAATAACCCGGTCTCGCCTTGGGGGACTTCTTTAGCCACTTAGTCGCGCGATCAGACTGCAGCCATTCGCATTTGTTCAGGTCTTCATCCGGGCAGTTTGGGTGAGGAAAGATTGGGAAGTTTCCCATGGACGGGGAACCGCCCGTACCGTCATCGTGGAGGTGGCTAAAGCCACCGATCCGGCTAGCATCAACAGAGAATCCGCCTTGGTTCTCCCCATTATAAACGTCTGAAACGGCCTTTGCCATTCCAAAAGGAAGTGTAGCTCCTGGAAATACGTGACCTAAGACATAGTCGCGTGAGCATGCATGGCCCTAGCATCATACCCTGAAGCTCTTGCAGAATCAACATACCTCCATCGGATGTCCCAATCAATGGATCAACATAATCCAAGACATCAAACCTGGAAGCAGAGAATTTCTCGCCATAGGCAAGAGCGAGAATAGAAGCCGAGACAGCCCCGAAGAGCTTTCTACCCCTTGAGAGAGAAGGCATGTTGATAATAGTTTGATGATATGAGGAACCAGTCAACCAACAACCATGAGAAGAAAGGAGGGGCAGGTGACAATTTATTCTTCACATTTTGACCCAGTAACAAGGTGGTTTAAGCAAGAAGGTAGTATCCTTGACATCCTTGGAATCCTTGGCTAGCATTATCCATCGCATATCGGCGGCATCAACCGCGGATGTGCGCTTTATTTTTCCATGATGGGGAATGTTGGTTTTTCGGTTAGCGTGCGGACTTTGTTGTCAGAGACAGACACCAGACCTGTTCAAATGGCCAGTAGACGAAAGCCAAACAGTACTTCTTTTTTTTTTTTTTGGTAGGAACCCTCCCCCGGCTCTTCCTCCACAAATATTGTTAATCATCGCCTGATGCGCGGTATTGAGTAGTTTTGTTTTGCGGGGTATATGCAGGTAACATGATCTCCAGCACAGAACGGAACATGTGGAAAAAGTCCGGATGGCTGCCAATACTTGACGCTGAGAGGTCTCCCATGCGATGCGTGAGGCTTTCGAGGTAGATTAGCATTTTGGCGGTTGCCTGGTCTTGGGAATGGCTGGAGACGTCGGGGGAGAAGCATAGGCGCGGGGTAATGGCAATGGTCATGATCAGTAGACACCATTCCCTGGTTGAGAAATTAAGGTATTGGTCAAGAGGTGCAGACAGGAAGTATTCCAAAAAAGCTTGTATCTCTGTAAAACAGGTTGTTGCGGATTCAATGGTATCAGTGTCTGGAGAAGCTGGGGTAGGCGGTAAAATACTACTGGGCGGGTTATTCAAGTCACTTCGGAGGAGGTCTTTCAAGGGCAAGAAGGCTATTTGAACTTTGATAAATAGCCTAAAGAGATGTAGTGGAACTGTTCAATTCGTCAGCAAATAAGTATAGCTGCATTGATTTGTCCTTGCATACTTTTAGCATCAGCGCTGGGCGAGATCGCAGAGTCCAAATCTTGAAGTTTCGAATTGAATAATTTCGTGGTTTCCAAGACTGTCTCGGATCTTCTGCCAAAGTTTTCTTGGGGAATATGACTCGGCTTATAGCGAGCTATTTGGTCAAGAAGCATCTGAAGTTTTGAATATTAAACGCCAGTCTCGTCTTGTAGATCAGATATTATGTTGGAGCTTAGAGCAGATTTGCAATAACTCTCTGCAGCATTGTCACTGGCACGCTGTAGTCCAATGGCGAGACTAAGACGCAAGTTAGATGTAATCACCACATAAAGATATCAAGAAGACATGGAGAGCTAGCATACATTGAAGATAAGTTATAGCAACCAAGACAAGCGTTCTGGGCGGCCATATCATGGGTTTTCTGGGAGAGCTTCAGGTCGGAAACCATGTTGATGCAAATCTGTAGGAATTGGAAAAGCTGGCTGTTCAACGGTCGTAAGTGAATTGGGCACCTGTTTCACGAGCGTGTGTCAATATAAAGCTATCAGCCACTTTTTCAATAGCAGGGGTCAATTACCATGCAACGTATACCAACAGACCCTGGACATAGTCCAGACTCTTCTCCCCGTTGACGATGATTCTCTCACTCAATACACGGCGGAATCTCTCATCTGTCCTTCGTTGTAAACTAGTCATTTGCGAAGAGCACACTGCCAAGATGGCTAACAATAAGAACGGATGATGCACTGCCATGCAGGCTCCTGAACGCGGATAGAAGGTTTAGCCGACGCATCACTAAATTAAGTATTCGGCGCTATCTTTCTACCCTAACCCTATCTAACTGTTGATCACATCCTCCGCATAATCAACATCCCTTTCGGGCCATGCCATTTCGGATAGACAATGCTCGAGCAGTGTATTCTTGCCACCCCAAGTGTCTCTTCCAAATGCAGCGACCATGTCGAATCCATTCAATAGTGTTCCGCTCGTCCAGATTTTGCCATCATGTACCCACCGTTTCTCTATCCAGTTCGTACCAGGAGCTACCTGCTGCATCAGAGGGATGAACCCTCGCGGCGCTGTCGCGGTTTTGCCTTCCAAGAGTCCAGCAGAGAGAACCGACTCAAACCCACCGCAGATACAGAGAAGTGCGACACAGTCTGCATGACATTTACGCAGGAATTCCTTTTCCGTTTCGTTGGCTTGGTAGCCTACTTTATGAACCCCGAGGACGACGATGTCTAGTGGCGGGCAAGTTGTGAATGAGTCCTGCGTTGTCATCAGCCTTCTTGTTTCCTGTGAACAACCAAACGGTTCGTCTATGAGAAATTTACCGTGGGAGACACATTGAGATTGCCAGTCAGATGGCCAGGACGTTCGCCGTTCTCCGTAATCCAGTGAAACTCAAAGTCCAAAGCTTGGGCCTTGAGGTCATCGGGAATGATGAAGGAAGGCATATCCTTGACAAGATCGCGGCTGATGCTAGAAAAAAAGCCCACAGGCGCGATATCGAGGTGTTCAGCTACCCTTTGTAATATTCAGTAACAGATGGTTATTCCAAGGCCCGGGGAGGAACATACTAGTTAAACAGAACAGCACCGACGTGAATCGCACGTTCAGGGTTGCGAAGGTTGACGGGGGAGGACATATTGTAAACTGAAGTAATTACTGCTGCTGTTGTTGTTGAATGAATCTTCTCTCAAGACTGATGGCACCAAGGCTCGACCAGCTTACGGTTTATATAGCATGCTCAAACGGATCCAGCTAGTGCGGCTAAAGCTACCTTCCGCTGTCGGTTCGCCTTGCCTTCCGCTCTGTAGAGAGTTGATACTTCTTGTCTACGATTCCTGGTGGCTCTTCTCATGCATATTGTTCTGCATTTACGTATTCTCTCTATCACAACATCATGGCACTCGCTGTTCCATTGCTGCGCTTTTATTAATCGTTATATTCCCTTTCACAATCCAGTAGTCATGTGATTTATAAGCCTTGAGGCCTCGCTCTGCATATCTTCAATGACTTACTGAATAGTGTGCCATTGTCAGTTCTAATAGTAGGGCCAATTGGCCAAATCAAATATTCTTACTCGGATGAGATGGGATTGCGACGAGATCGATTTTACACGGAGCCTATTGTAGAATGACCTGTACATAATAGTAGTCGTATGGCCGCTTTCATCGCCCACATCAACCAGCTCCACATGTGGTAGATCAAGAACTTCGTAGTAGTTTTGCTCAAGGCATGGACGTTTGACCCTGAACGGGTGAGGGGGCTCTTCTGGAGAAAGAAGGGCCCTCTTCTTTGGATCCGTGACTGCAGACACATTTTGTCAGAAATATCCTCAGATAACCAACAGTCAAGGATAGTGTCTTACCGCGTGTGGATTGCTTCGTGTGCCAAAAATCATAGACCGCCCGGTTGGCTTCCTTGCAGGAAAGATAATCTTTGTAGTTACCAAGCCAGAATCGGAATCCGCCTTCCTCACAAAGAGACTCCCAGAATGCTTCTCGCTCTTCGGGTGTATTTGAGAGCGTATTAAGATCATCCCATTCATAAGCAAACCCACCAAAACAGCGCTCTCGAAGATCATAAATCTGGGGGTATTTTCCCTTTCCATTTTTTTGCTCCTCTGGGCACAGAATCTTGCGACGCATAGAAAGTGCTAAGTTTGGAGTGCGGTTGAAAATACAGAGGTTTTGGGCATCAGCACCTATTTCCTGGACAACTTGCACACCAGATGCTCCCGTATCAATCACCCCAACTCTTTTTCCTGCTGTGTCGACACCTTCAGCCGGCCAGAAGGAAGAGTAGTGCCTTGGAACTTGTCCAAGCCTTTGAAGTTGGGAACATGGCGCTTGGAGGAAAACCAAGCGGCGACAATGTGATACGTTGCCTTAGCATGACGACCATCGGACGTGCTCACGTTCCATTTTCTATTAGCAGTGTTGTAAGTAGCTCCGGTAACTATTGTTTCGAAGGCAGTGACCTTGGAAAGGTTCAAGGTCTCACCGACATGGCGGAAATAGCGGTGAATTTCACTGTACTCAGGATAGTTTGTGGACCAAGTCTAGGTTTTGTAAACCTCCCGGATCGAGAATTCGTAGATCTGGACTTCAGTATCGGTACATGCGCCTCTGTTTATGAATCAGTATCGAGAGGGGCGCCGTTGGTGAATTGACTTACGGGTATGCATTGAAGTGCCAAGTGCCAGACACCTCCAAAGTCTGATCCAACATCGTACAGAACCGTCTTGTAGCCCTCCTTTCGCATTTGATACAACATGTAGAGACCGCCGAATCCGGCGCCAATAACGAGTACATCAACATCCAGATTGTCGGCATAAGGGCCCTCGGTGGAGCGCCTCGCAGCAAATTGACTCAAATCGGTTTTCAACCCCTTCTGGTCTGCTGCATAGTTGCTGTATGTCATGGTTTCTGTGGCCATTGTGCTCTGTGAATTGAGGAGAAAGTTCGAAATATTTGAGAGTGATTCAGGATTGTCACTTCTGATCTCGCTTGACAGTCCTCCTCATTTATAGGGTAGACATGCAATCCCGGTTACTTCGCGTCCGATTCTCTTTACCGAAGATAGAAAATTGCACTCACATCCCCGCGTTTCCCCAACACATGACACCCCGCATCCATGTCTTTAGAGTTCTGGATACTCCGGGGCTGATCAATACTTACGTGCCCAGGGGCGGTTAAAGACAACCGTATTCCACCCGCGGAGATAGTGCATTCCAGTCTTCATGTTATCTAAAACCATCCACAACTCCCCACATACAATGTAGTCAAAGTATGCTGCATATTTCAACCCTGTCAAAGAACCATTTTCCAAACATTCCTTACCAGAAAACATGCACTTTACCAGTGCCAACTGTCTGCAACCAGGGAGAACTAGGGATTACTTTCAATAAAACCCACAACTTGTTGGTTTTCACAACGGTCTGCAACCATACCAAAGTCTTGGAGCAGTCACCATCCATACTCAAAACCATGAGACAGTGTGAGTAAAATTATGCATAATGGTCTCTATACAGTAAGGCATCCCTCTTGTCTTGTGTTAATAGTATCATGCTACCAGCTGATACTATTGCCAATCTATCTCCCTCTCTTTTTGATAGCGTGCACAGCTATGAAAATGTATGTATTATGATACTCAGTGGGTATATGTAGTAGCAAGCTGGAAAAGTCTTTCTCAAACATCTCATTATACATAATTAATGCGCCAGGGACAGAGTACTATATATGAGGATGTTGCTCTTGGCACACCACTACATGATGACAAATCAATGAAAAATACAGGATCAGTGCACATTGATTGCAAATAGATAAGGTCCCACTCAATAGTGAAACTGTAGAAAGGCAGATGTAATACATAATCCTCACTGCTGCCATTGACAGATACTCATTCCAGATATCAAACCACCAGAAAATAATCAATGTGTGAATGACCACTATATTTGGCAATTGCAAGAACTTGACAATATCTTTGTCCACAAGACAAAAACATCCCAGTATTGTAGTAACAGGACACTGAGTTTCTGCCAGAGATTAGCCAAACACTTATGACACCTGTTGGGCGATCACATACACATCTAAAAACCTCACGCCTGTGTACATCTCAACCAACCTGTTATCAACCACAACTTGATCACAACCATCACGAGACTGGTAACCTTGCTTCAATTTAACCCAGAAACTCTCACAGTAAATCACCAAGCGTGTGTGATGCTGCATGTAGACATTCAAATGTTGGAGTACTTGATCCAGATGATTCTCAGTCCCAAAAGTGTGGACATGGGAGCCATGCACATCATCATCTGCCGTCCTTTCTTCATGATGTGACACAAATGAATTGATTAACTGTGGGCAGTTCTCTGTGAGCCATGCCAGGCATGCATACAGTTCTTCATTTTGCACATCTGCTGATCCTGCCAGAGCTAACTGCAATGTTTGGTGAACACAATCATGCTTAAACAAATATGCCATTAAGTGTTTGGGCGCAGCATGGTCTGCCCATTGCTTCCAGATCCTATGTTTATCAGTATCCAAATTCCAGTGATATCAGACTCATGATACCATACTTATGCTTACACTCCCCACACAAAACATTGCAAGACATGATGCTACCATATTCAGCGGCAAATTCTGCAAAATGAAGAGCCACATGAACATTTGGAAGCCTTGTGTATTTCCAGAGATCCTGTGAGTGAGAAGGCCAAGTCTTGTCTGCATCTATCACAGCATCAGCTTTGTTCAAATCTCACCGGCACCCATGCCATACCCATACCTTGTCTTGTTAAATCACACGGATGCATGCATGCAGCAGCAAGCACCAGTGCTTGGAACACACAGCAGCTCAGAAGCGCATTTTTCCTAACCTCACCCTCATCAGTTGTCCCAACAGAAGATAGTTTGCTTGTAGCCAACCCAAAGAGTGCAAAAGCATGGATGATAAGTTCCCATGTGGGCATTGGCGGCTCTGTCTGGAATTCCAACAGCATGATTGAAGCTGCATTCAGTGTCACAGGACAGAACCATGTTTCCATGGCATTGCAACATAATATCAAGGGTGTGAGTAAAATGGCCCTCCCATTTTCTGACAAAGACCAAGAGAAGCAGTGCTGTGGACTCTGAATACATGGCCACTTCACTGGAGGCACAAACGCCTGGAAGGCATCCAAATATGACTGTACAGCAGTTCTCCTGAGCATATCATGGCAAAGCATGTCCTGCAATTTCTCACCTAGCCCTTTCCATTCTGAATGTGGAATGTCATACACACATGCAAGTGTGAGGTCCAAAAAGGGCACCAGATTTTGCAGGGGCGACAGTGTCTCTTGAAGCCCAATACTCCAGAAATATGTGTTCTGATCCCCTCACCTGTCAATCCCCATTGCATGGGCTTGCTTGATACCAGTGTTGAAATGGTATCTGCCATTAGAAACCACATCATAGTACAAGTCCCTGCATGAACCTCTAGGGCAGTAGCATGACTGACAGCCAATCTCTGCTTGATGTGCCAGGGATCCACTGTTTGCAGCTTGCTGTGGCATATCTGCTGTAAGCACTAGCAAACTGATGTTAACCAATGTCATCTCACCACTGCATAACACCCACTTCCCAGTCCTCAGCTCACTAAATGCCTCTTCAAAGGATGAAACCACATCAGCCATTTGTGCACCATGGGGACCCAGCGTCAATGTAAAAGTATTGACCACCTTGCTCCACTCATGGTATGGCAAGCCTGCAAGTGTCATATAGAATGCCTTCAATGTCTGATACATGTTGCAATGAATGCCAAAGTCATCAATGAAAATCAAAATCGGTAGTGACCGCACTTGCTGGTTAACTGAGTGTTGGGCTTCCAGGTAATTCCATCCATACTCCATAACTTCAAGCTCTGCCCACAATGAGTGCAACTTAATAGTTGATCACAACTGCCAAGTCTTTGATGTCAGGACAAAGAGGACTCTTACCATGGGTGACACTGGTTGTAGCCCATGATCCAAGGCCATATCCACCCTGGCATGAACAGAATGGTCTTCAATCTCCAGGCAATTATCCTCAATAAGCACAAACTCACATCTGTTCATATCCAAATCAACAGGAAGACATGATGATAGTATCACTGGTTGTACTGTCAAGACTGTCTTTCCATAATGGATTGACCTCAATCACTTATCCACACCAACAAAGGTGACTCGACCATAATGGACATCATCAAATAGTGTACATGCCATAGAAGTGAATTCAATGAAGTCTCCAGGAAATATGATCTGGTTATACCTTGACAATGCGTACTCACCTGACACTGTGCAAACAGAAGAGCCCCATGCCCTTGAATGCCATAGCTCCTGTGGGTTATCCAAGTATTCCACCATCCCAAAATGAAGTGTGTTCATACGCTCTTGTGACTGCAAAATGGCGCTGAATAATTGATCCAAATCATACCAGAACTGTGGGGACTTGACCTGTTTCCTTCCTGTTGCACTCCTTTCAGTGGACTGGATATGTTTTGGCA